AGAGGCTGACTCTTCAGAGATTTGTATCTTATACACACGCAACCACAATACACGGAAGCTGTCACCTGCTCAGTAATGAATTAATGCTCTGTGCTCACTGGTATGCAGTTTACCACAAAGATTGCAAAGTTCTTTTGAAAGTCAACTTTGCAAAAGCAGTCACTGATTAGGGCCACGTAAGGTTTTTGTTTACTTAATGTAAGATTAAGTGCTGGTTGCCAACATCTTCTGTGGACTTTCTAGTCCATAGAAAACAGAAAAAATCTTGAAATATTAGAAATAATCTTTTTAGAAATAATCTGTGCCTGTCTTGAACTCATGTGCTAGAGAGCGTGTAGTTAAACAACTCAAAATGAATGGCTGCTTCTGAAATTTGGACCTGGAGTTTGGTGGTTTTATGCTTTGATTCCAGAACTGCTCGTGTGTGGTGCATGGAGAGCCCCCAGTGGCGTAATTGAGACTTTCACAGATGTCTGAAGGAGCCGGTCTTAAAATGATTTTGTCCTTGCGCACTTACTTGGGGGTTAATCTTCAGCACCCAGTTTGCATGTAATGTTTTTGGAATTGATAAGACTTTGTCATCATTTCAAATAACTGCGCTTCCCACAGCAGCAAAACTACTCGATGCTTCTGTAATCTCAGCTGTGATTTTTCGTAGGAATGCAAGAAACAGTTTATGGCTGACAGGTTTGGGAGGGGAGGAGAGGAGAGTTGCTGTAGATTTGTAGAGTAAATTAAAGTTGAGAGAAGTTAATATGTTCTGAAAACTTCACCTCCTTTCTGTTGTTAAACGTACTTTCTTTCTAGCTTATAAACTAATCTGCAATCTCCTTGCAGTGTTGACGATGTAGTGAAAAGACTGTTGTCACTGGAAATGGCAAGCCAGGTTAGTTTCATTCTACTTGCATAAAAAAACCTCGAAGATTGAGTGAGCACATTTGTTTAAGACTTGCCTATATTGTTAAATGCCCTTCACTTACTTTAAGTGTTGCTCGGTGACTGCAGATGTGGGGCTATTAAATACATGAGAGTCATAAGTCTTGAATGCTTTTAAAGTTTATCATGCAGTCTTCTTTATAATAATTGCATACTAAAATGAGAGAAGAAAATATTAGGCGATCACAGGGGAGATGAGCTGTGTTATGTTACTGCTGATGGTTGGCCTGTGTTTTAGAAAACAGTACACTGGACAGCAGATGTTCTTCAAATTACTTTTCGTATGCCCAGAAAACGAAGTAAGCAAATCGTAAGGTAGCACAAAGGTCTTGCCGTTTCTCGCTGCTTACCACTTAAGCTTAAAAAGATGCGAAAGGTAAAGGCTGCTGCTGTGTGAGATCAGTTTCAGTTCTCTCTTCCATTCCTGAAAGCAGCGGGGCCTCTTCAACACCCTTCTTCTGTAATCTTGGGATGAAGGGTGTGCCTGGACTCTTGGTTTGAACAATGGCGATTCTGTGTTCTGCTGAGATCTTTTTGTGCTGCTTCGCTGCTGTCCTCTGAGCACTCCTGCCAGCAGTAGGTCCTTTTTGGTAGCAGTTTTTACACATTTTGTGATGGACATTGAGCAAAGCTATTAATTACAAAGCCTTTATCTGGCATTTGGGAAGAGAGCTGTGGTGTCTCAGACCTTTAGTGTTGCTGAGAAAGTGACAAGCTCTTTTCTGTTATCCACAGAAGGAGAAGATGAAAATAAAGACACAGCAGCTGGTGGAGAAGGTCAGGAGGTCTCCCAGCGACAATGGCTCCTTTGAGGTGCAAGGTAAGTTGAAAAAGTAGAAGGATATTGTTGGCAGATGATAAATCTCTGCTTTTATGCAGCTATTCCCACCCCAGCACTTCAAGTTTCCTGGATCAGTTAGGAGAATCTCCTTCAGGAGAGCACCTGGGAGGCAGGTAGCCTGCACTACGCCCTGGAGGACCTGGTCAGGGTTTGGGGATGCTGCAGAGGCAGTGCGTGCACTTACTGGCAGATGTCTGCTAGGATGATTTCCAAATTCCTACTCCATATCCACCCTCCAAAGGCAGCATGTGCATTATTCTGCTTGAAGTGCTTATATGGCATGAAGCGTTGCACTGCATTCATTACCAAAATAAACTACTAGATGTAGCCATGGAACCCAGATTGCCCTCTGCATCAGAGAGCTCTGGCTGAAGCACAGTGTAGGGACACGCAGGGATGAAGGCCACGCTGCCATTGACCAAGATGCACTCCTTTATCATTAATAAAGGTCTTCAGTTTCTCAGGATGCCACCAGCACCTTTCTCCAAAGCCTGAAATCACAAAGAGGTGGCTGCTGCTCTTAGGAAGAACCTCTTAATTTCTGTCTGTTCCTCCAAAGCTTAAACCAAGTGGAGTGAAATGAATGTGAAGTCATCGGTAACGCAAGAGGCATTTTACAGATAAATTCATATGATCTGTTGTTAAAATTTTAACCTCTAATTAAGCAGCTTCATAATAGTAATAGTTCTGACGCGGGTTATGTAGGTTATATTTTGTGGTTTGTTTTGCATTTATTCAGAGGGTTGTGCAGTAGTAATTGCTGTGGTGCAGTGGGTACCCGTAAGAACAGCAGTCCTCAACTGGCAATTTGAAGGGAATGCAAATGATACTGTCTCACCCTGGAAAGCTGCTGCTGCTCACACGGCTTCTTATGTCTGTTCTTTATAGTTGCTATGTTGACTGCCAAGATACGCACTTATGAGGAACATCTTCAGAGGCATCCCAAGGTAACTATCAGTAATCTGAGCCCACACATCTGAGGCAGCAGCTGTTCAGGTTGTTTTCTCAGTTTAGAACAAAAGGATTTTCATTCTGGGGATTATGGCTTTCCTAAGAAGGTTTATAAAATAGTTATAACTGTTCCCTGGTGCCACTCTGGGAAACTGCTGGCTCAGTCACAGCTATGTTCTCACCGACTGAAATGTGGAGCATGTTCTTTTGTTACTGGATTGGTGGAAGGGGCTGAGCAGATACCTTTGAACAGAGTTGAGCTAAATTTATCCTTGCTGCAGATGTGGCTTCACTGCTTAGTTTTCAATGTAATTAATGTTATCACTTCAGCAGCTGTAGTCTCTCTTTGTTCTGCCTATGAAGATGTTTAGGGGACAGGACTGTGTTAATGTCATAATGACCACTCTCCTACCTAAAGCTACCTGGGTTCAGCACCCAAATTTGAAACATCACAACTACGAGTTTATGAATAAGATATATTAAAGACACTTTCTGCAGTGCAAAAGGTGGAAAATGGATTAATCAACTGCATTTGAAAAAAGTGCATAATTCTCTGTTAATCATAAAAGCTGGAAGGGTAAAACAGAATAGAATTCAGTTTTTTTAAGAAGCCAGAAGTTGTACCAAATGTTTCAGTAGAAGAGACCTTTTGAAATTACTTGGATGAAGCCTGCTTTTTACACAAATTGCTTGGATAGGGGAGTTTCTCCCGTGGGGGACTGTCCTGAATGGCGTGGCTCAAGCTACACATATTCTCTTCCAAAGAACAACCCACATGGTCAGATAGAGCCAGGTCACATTTTATTTTCACATTTAATCGCTGGAAAAACAAAGGTAAATGGAAAGAAAATTTCTGGAAGAATACGTTTCAAGCAAAGCAGAGTTTTTAGCCAGGAGACCTTCCCTACAGCTTTTGCCACTGCCTGAAACTGCGTACAAGTTGAAAACTGTCTTCAGGGTTGGGGGAGGAAGGTGCAGACACAGAATGAAGAAAGCAATTTCAGTGAAAAGTAAATTAAGTCGTCTCAGATCTCCTTGTAGTGACCTAATGTGCTTGCAGTATCTGCCAAGAAAAATTGTTCTAAGATACTGTCCTTAACCTGATTGTTTCCTTTCAGCCAAAATCTGGTCTATTCTAAGTAATTTATTGGAATGGAAGTATAATCTGTCTGCAATCTAGTGAACGTTAAGTCCTTTGCAGGATAAAAATAACCGTCGTCGCATGCTGATGGCTGTAGATCGCCGGAAGAAGCTACTTGCATATCTTCGCCGTGTCCGCTACGATACCTTTGAAAACACCTGCAAGCAGCTGAATATCCAGTACACCCTGCCCCCTCCCTACACCAGAAGGGTCACCAAGCGCTGGCTCGTGAAGAAGGCTTTCTGTCTCAAGGTACGGAGCCACATGGAGAGAGCCGCGTAGCTGGGATAGGAAAAACTCACTTTATAGAAGGGCACGATGAAGACAGTTGGAAAAAACTGACAGATAAGTCCTTTTAATCCATGCTGTGAATTTGAGGAGACAATGATAATGTCTGTAGAGAAATATATAAACTCGGCAAAGGGCTCCAAGAAAGACAGTTACGTAGTGGGCGTGTGCTGCGGATGTACTGCGCTTAAGAACTTCAGATTGTGCTACTAGTTTGCTCAGAAATGGATGATTCAGAACAGCTTTTTTCCAGAGCCTGGTGTGGGGAACTCATATGTGAGACAATTAAATTTGATGGCAGCTTTGGACAGAAATGTGCGTATGCCCACTGTCTGCTCTCTCTTGCTGTAAATACATTGGTGTAACAGCCGGGTGCGATACACCTTAGGGTAACTGAGCAGAGTCAAAAAGCTGGACGTGCCTTCAGTCTGTAAATACTAAATTTCAGTCCAATAAATTATTACCAAAAGTCTGGGTAGCTGTAACGGAATACCTCCGAATGGTACCCTGAAACCGGGGCTGGCTGGAGCCCTGGAGGAAGCGCACGGGCAGGAGCTGGCCTTGCTGCACGCTGTGCCTGCTGGCCTCTGCTGCAGGAGCTCGGATCCGTGCTGCGCGCTGCAGCAGGCAGCGGTGGCGGAGCAGCTCCGCTCAGCAGCGGGCAGCTCTGCCTCTCCCCTTCGCTCACCTCCTTCTGCTCCTCCCGCAGGTTTTCCAGGAGGCGCGGAAGCTGAAAGCACCGGAGAGGCTAAAGCAGAGAAGAGAGAGGCAAGCAAGAAGGAGAGCTGCAAAGGAGAAAGAGGCGCAGCGTGAGGGGACGCCCGTGTAGCTGGGACACAGCCGGTCTCTTTAACAATAAATAACTACCTAAAGGCGTGTTGCCTCTTTGCGTATGTGCATGCGTGATCTGCTGTCCTCGTTTCAGCTGGGGTAGAGCGAGTTTTCTTCTTGGTGGCTGGCGTAGTGCTGTGTTTTGGATTTAGTATGAGAATAATGTGATAACACACTGATGTTTTAGTCATTGCTAAGTGGTGTTTGTGCTGGTCAAGGACTTTTCAGCTCCCCATGCTCTGCCCGGTGCACAAGAAGCTGGGAGGGGGTGCAGCAGGACAGCTGACCCAGATATTCCACACCATATGATGCCATGCTCAGCACATAAAGCTGGGGGAAGAAGAAGGAAGGGCGGCATGTTCGGAGCGATGGCGTTTGTCTTCCCAAGTCACCGTTACCCGTGATGGAGCCCTGCTCTCCTGGAGATGGCTGGACACCCGCCTGCCGAGGGGAACTAGGGAATGAATTCCTTGGTTTGCTTTGCTTGCGTGTGGTTTTTGCTTTACCTCTTAAAACTGTCTTTATCTCACCCCACGAGTTTTTTTTCTCGCTTTTACCCTTCCGATTCTGTCCCCCATCCCACCGGGGGCGAGCGAGCGAGCGGCTGTACGGTACTTAGTTGCCGGCTGGGGTTAAACCACAACATCTGCGCCATGGTGAGCACCCAGGAAAGCACAGCGAGTCACTGAAGTGTTTTAGAAGTTTAATTTAAGGCTGATGCGCTGGACGGTGTTGTGAGCAGGTCGATCTGTGCGAGAGGAGTGCCGGCGGGGCTTCACCAGCTCGGCACAGGGAAGGCGGGGAGGTCTTTAAACGAGAGCAGCTCCAAGCAGTGTCCGTCTCCCGTTGTTACCCAGCGAGCCTGCAGGATTGCGCTGTCAAACAGCGCTGACCGAGCGGCTCGGCGGCGTTCGGCAGGGATTTGATGACAAATGAGGGGGGAGAACGAGGTGAAATGCTGCTGATTTGGAAGCGAAGCAGCCCCGACGGTAGCTCAAAGCGCCGTTCCTCCTCGCAGCAAAAGGCGGGTTGATTCAGAGCTCTGCAGCTGTAGAAATCATGTTAATAATCCACTCCGTCATTTCCCAGCAGACTTGCGCATTTATCTCCGCTCTCTGGCAGTGACCCTCTGTCGCTCTCAGGCTTGGTGACTCCGTGTTTCACCAAAAACGCCGCCGATGGTGACTAAACCAAAGGAGAATTACTGGTGTGACGGCAGCAGCGCCTGTTGCCCAACTCTCTATGGCTTCCAGCAAAACCTCCCCTAACTGCGGCACACGGGGCTGGCCGGCGCGGCTCTTTTTTATTGGGTCAAAATTCCTTTATTTGAACCATTTCCTCGCAAATCCTTCAGTTTTTCCCATGCGCCCACCAGAACGCACGAAACCTGGTGTTTCCACATTCCCCCGGGTGCTGCTGGCGCCCTGCGGGCCCTCACCCCGCCGCGAGGCCCTTGCACACGCACCGGGGGTGCGCGCACGCGCCGTGCCTGTGCGGACACGCGCCGGGGCGGGGCTTGCACGCGTGCCCCCGACCGGCCAAGACGGCGCTTTCCGATTGGCCCCTCGGCTGCCCGGCCACCGCCGGGGCGGGGGG